CTAGAGAAGCGAAAATTTAATATAGAAATATCATAAAATTAAATTCTAGCGAAAATTTAATATAGAAATATCATAAAATTAAATTCTAGCGAAAATTTAATATAGAAATATCATATTTATATTTCATAAAATCATAAAAAATTTAATAGAAATATCTTCACAAAAAGTTTAAGCGAGAACCTGTTGTTCTGATTGGAATCTACTCCATTTTTACTATTACTTTAATAATTTGATCTACTCCATTGTTTAGCATTTTCAAACGTTTATTTTATGATTCATACATACATACTTAAATAGCAGAAATACATACATATAATGATAGTTTTTATACTCTAAGTTACATTGGAGGCTTTTAAAAATTTATAAGCGTTGCATATGGTATAATCAATTTTTTTTTTGCTCATAACAGAATTTCTACTTAAATAAGTATACAAACAAACCGCGGTAAGAATAAATTGTAAAATTAAATATTATGTGAAACATGAGTAAGCTTTTATTATTGCTCTATGTTGTATATACATACATGTGTATAAATACAAGAAATTTTTCTGTCCATATATAAATTCGGTTTTATTTTTACTGATAAGAAAAATTACTAGCTGTAACCTATTATGCTGTTATTTTTATTTATTATGTTTGACACCCAATTCTATTTGAGTTATCTAAAACGTGAGAGATTGTATGTACATGTGTAGCTACATAATATAGAATATAATTTTTCATATTTTAATATTCATCAAACCACATCTTTTAAATCTACATAATTATGAGTCATACATGTACTTTGTCTATATATAAACATATAGCTATATAATTATACATTGCACATAAAACAAATACATATTATATTGATAACTATAAAATTTTTTGTATTGTTTTTGTTTTACGCTAATATCAAGCATAATGTATAAGGAATTCACACACACACCTACCTACGCACAACAGCCACATTGATAACACATCTACGCTGGTGAAAGCTTTCAAATACCATCATTCGCCTACAACGGCAACACTTAAAAAGTACTTTTTTTGGCTCCTGTACATTTCTTATGGAAAAAGTGGGCCAGAACTCTCATAGCTTATCTACTAAAGTTTAATGTAATAAAATAACATTTTCTTATTAAATTTTTATTGAAATGTTATATTTAAATTCTTCGTATTAAAACAATGAACGTATAAATTTTTTGGAAAGATCAGGGCTTGAAAACTGATTTGCGGGCCCATTTTACATTTTTCACATATCTACGGAATGGATTGATGGAATTTCTTGAAATTTGGTATTTGAGTTCTGGTTGTTACCCAAACTAACTGGCCAGCATTTTGGGGAATTCGGGCAGCACAAAGCGAAACTCTACTAAGAGCCAAATTTACATATTTCTGGTTGTTAACTATAAGGTCTGTGTGTGCACGCGTGTTCGGCTGAACCGATTTTGATGAAATTTTATATGTAAGTTTGTTTCCACCATGGCACGGATCGATCAACTTTTGGTATATATCAGGACTCGGGAACTGCACTTTTTAGCGGGCCGATTTTACATTTTTCACCATTTTGAAGAAAGTATTCAACCGATTTACTTGAAATTTTAATATAAGCTTTGCTCGATCATACGCAAAAATTCCTAACTTTTGGAAGAAATCAGACATCAGCAACTGGGCGTTTACTACGGGCCAAATATACATTTTTGTGTATATAAAGAGAAATAATCAACCGATATCATTGAAATTTAATATATGAATTCCCCGTATTAAAGCAATGAACATATAACTTTTTTGGAAAGATCAGGGCTCGAGAACTGATTTGCGGGCCGATTTTACATTTTTCACCATATCCACAGAACAAATTGATGGAATTTCTTGAAATTTGATATTTGAGTTCTGGTTGTTACCGAAACTAACTGGCGAGCATTTCAGGGAATTTGGGTAGCACAAAGCGAAACTCTACTAAGAGCCAAATTTACATTTTTCTAGGTATGTTAACTATAAGCTTGCTAATGTCCTAAAAATTGGAAAGAAGTATTTAGCAGACGTTTTTATAATATTCTGTAACACTTTCATTTAACTAGACAATACACAATGCGGTCGGTTATGTGCTGACCACATCAGATTTTTTATTTTTAATTTAACAAAAATTTGTTAATAAGAAACATTGTAAACCCAAATTTAATATTACTAATTTTGGAATGTGCTGACAAGGAAAATTCCATTGATCTTTCTTTGGTTATTAAGAGTATAAATAACAGAACATTAAGAATAAAATTAATTACTGTAAGTCAGAACTTTAGAGCGATGACACATCTTTTCATATATAGTAATAATATACGAAATAGTGCTAAGTGTTATTTAATAAGTTTATTGTAATAATATTTTGTATATATAAGTATAAAATAAATATATATAATGATTTTTGAAAATTAAAAGAGTTTTTTAACAAACTGTTAAAGACTGACTTTGAAGTCTACAAGTAAAATTACTCGATTCTAGCTAATCGTGTCTGAAACTTTTACTCGTATAATAATTCTAAAAAGAATATTTTGACATTAGTATATATATAAATCGAAGTATATCTTTTTAAAAGTACATCGATTCGTTTGCTAGCCAATTCCACAGATTTTGATATATTCAATTTTTGTTAAGAAATAGATAATAAAAATAGGTAATAACAGTTATGTAGGCAAAAAAGAAACAAAATATTCTAAACAAACGAGTGAACCAAAGGTTGTGATTGAAATAAAACTAAATTAAGTTAAATAAAAATTTTGTTATTTTTATTTTGATAAAAATAAAATTTATTTTATATTACATTTAATTTTTTATTTCATATACTCATAAGTAAGGTAAAAATATTCGAATCTATGAAAGAATGTATTTTCCTACATTGTTATATTGTACATGCATATGCATAGTAGATGCACAGTATGATATAGTGATATGTATATATCCCGTTAATATTGCTGCTTCAAGCGCGTATACTTTAAGCCTATTTTATGTCCATATAAACTTCCTTCACGGCTTCAAGTCAATAAAAAATTTTGGTTATTCGACTTGAAATATTAATAATGAATTGAAATTTAATCGCAAAGCGTAGTTTTCAGGCTTCCGAGATGATTTCAGGTCAAGTACTCAAGCTGCAACATAAGCGTTATGTTGCAGCTTGAGCTGCGTATGCATACTAATTCATACTTTATTAAACATGTTAGCGATACGTGTGAATTCATAGGAAATATGTATGTGTTTTAAATTTTTCTAGCAATACGACGATAGTTTACCACATAACTCTTATGAATCTAATGAGTTCTTAGGAAAAGGGCTAGAACCCAAATTGAGGAAGTACTTCTACCTTTCAGCTGTAGTTGAATTTGTAGCAAAATTAAAAAAACTGGTTTTTGGAAAGCTATTGGCAAAATTGAAAATTGGTTTTGGAAATTCAGAAATAATATGACAATTATTACTTGAAGTACTATTAAACTTCAGAAAGTTGGATAGTTGTCACATTTCCTCATGATTAATAAATTTCCAAAAAGCCTTAAGATCATGTGTAATTCTTAAAATATACAAAAACATTTTATAAAGTTGTTTAGCTGCTACCCTGAATGTTGCGACAAAATTTGTTTTTTTATTATGGAATCTTCTCAATTTCTTAAAAACCATTGAGAGCCAGAACCGGAATTCTTTTTTCTTATAGTTAGAAAAAACAATTCAAACGCAAAAAATATGATATCATAAAACTTACTTGTCATTGACTTGATATCAGTAATATTAAATAATGATAAAATCAAACCGTTAGTAAAGGGCTTTGTCTGTGGATTGTTTATCGTCAATACAATATGAAAAAAAACCGAAGCATCATGGAAGTTAATTTTAACCAATGGGTTTGGCAGGACAATGGGTGAGCAATTATACCAATCAGGAGTAAAAAACACCTAGATTGGTGGTTCAAAACTGCCGATGTTTGCCTAAGTTATTCAAGTAAAAGGAATCCACAAAAGACAACTCAAACTCATCACCACAATTTATTGGAACAAAAATTATTACTCGTCATGTGCGTTAACGCTATTTTAAGAAAATAGCGTTATTATGCTCTTCCTCCATTATTTAATATTAATTTTTCCCGTCAACCACATTAATTTTTCCCGTAGAATCATGAAGTCCCTAGATGTATCAGAGTTCAAGGAAATATGTTGCTCCATGTTTTTGAGGTAATCGATTAAGGCCAACATCGTGTCAATGTTGTCAATAGATTCTGACATTTTCCCATAATACGAAGACAGATCCCAATTATCTGTGTCCACAAGTGACTTGCACTCACATTTAGAATTTACATTGCTTTGCAGGTATTTATCTCCTCTTGTACATAGTGAACGATTTCCATTTTGATTTTTAATCAATGTCATCAAGGCGATTGTACAAATGGGAAAAAATCTCACAGTTGGCATCGAAAGATTTACCCACCTTGACAATAACCTGTCACCGTTCTTCAAGCAAGTCCTTGATACTATCTTGCGAATCAGTAGGGAATGTTATGTTACCATAAAAATTTATACACTGGTCGCAAACGACGTTTTCCCTGAACCAAGACGAATGCCAAGTCCTGTCTAAACTCAAACAGATTAAATAATATGACTGCTTACAGAATCCATTACATTTCAACAATTCCGTCTTATAATCGTATTTGAAAGATAATAGTTGAAGTAAAACAATGATAAAAATCAAAACCAACAAAAATTTGGTATTGTAAAGACTTTGAGTAGTTTATGAAAGATCGTTTACTCCAATAGCAAGAATATAAAATTGAGCAATTGCTTGATTTACTTGATACACATGACTTATTACATAAAATGAAAGTTAATGAAAAGGTAGTCGAGTCGACCTAATCTAACCTACCGCGATATAAATTTTACGCTAAGTTTATGAAATCAAAAAAAATTTCGCATATTATTATTGATGTTAAAAAATTTTAGGGCTACTTTTGCTCCTATTTTAATTTAATTGTTATTTTACAGATCTTATGTTTGGTAAATGTCTTTCTAAATCAGGAGTTGATGTGGATGATATAGATCGAACTCCTGTCAGTGAAGAACAATCTAGAATTTTAGCAACAATGTTGGAAGAACTGCAAGGTGCTGATTTAGGGTGGGATCACCCTTTTGTTCAATGCCAAATACAAGGAACTCTATTTGCTATGCGAAGGCGTACACAATTACCGCCAAACTTATGTGCTAATTTAGCCCCTGATCCAGAAATCATTGGTCCACAGAGTCCTTTAGCATTTGTAAGATTCACATCTCCGGAAAATGATGAAATCGACTATCAACCTTACAATAAAGACGTAGGTTTCGCTAACTCTTATGGACTCTTACCACAAGTTCAAACACGTAAAGTAGATAATATGGAGCTATTAACTGAGCTAGCTCATAGATCAGATATTGTACCTCAGGAACGAAAGCGCACTACACAATATAATCAAGCAAAATCAGATTCAAAAAAATACATAAGGCATATGAACAATGGTTTAAATCTTCGCAAAATATTACTTCATTATGAGAACGGAGATTTATTTCCATTTATTTCAACCAAAAAATATGTTTATCCGCATACAAATGCATCCTATGATGTGAAAATATATGACAGTCCTATTCATCCAAGGAACTCAAACAAGCGTACAAATAGTGGGACGCACTTCTTATATTTTAGAGAACTATCTGATAACAATCAGATACCATTGAGCAGAAAAAATCATTTTATTCCATCTTCGCAAGAATATTTTAACTATCTTAAAAAATCTAAAACATTTGACTTAGACCCACATAATGAACAAATTAATTTTCCAGTTAAGTTATTTAAGCTAAACCCTGATGAACAGAAACATTTTGAGCAATACGGAATTGATCAAATGGGAGTTTACACTGAAGGGGGGTTCCTTATTCCTTCAGATCAAGACAACAAAGAAGATCGGAAAAAAGATGCCAGAACCTTGTTTGCTAATATGATGGGTTTTACAAGACATGAGCGCTTAGATGTAAAGAAACCTGGTCCTTTGATCACGTCACCAACCGATATTAAGGCCACAGATGTTTTCAATACCATAACCCAAAAGAAAATTAATACAAAAGAGGATATGGCTTTAAGTACAATTAAACGGGAGCAAATAAATAAAGCCACAAATATAATGCAAGACCATTCGGCAGAGGATCATGCTCAGTATTCAGTTGATACCGAGTATGCATTTGTAATTATGAAACATCCGTAAGTTTGTATTATAAAATAAACAAATAAAAAATTAAATGTACTGCGTACTTCAGAATTGACAGTTGGGCCGATGGTGTGCGTATAGTAAACGCATTAGCTAACACATTACAAATGAATTTTACACACCCAAGGCAAGGTTCTAAATAGTTTTAGTTGCAAAATTACGCAAATTTTGTATTTTCACAGAGTCGATAGTCATGAAGTTTCATTTCGCGTTGAGCCAAATCCTGAAAAAAAATCAGCTATAGACGTGGCCAAATCTATAAACACGGATCGTTTTAAAAGTAATATATACCGCCGTTTCGGAATAACAATTGTGCGATCTGGCGTTGGAAATAAAGTTAAATACGACCCGGAAAAAGAAGTAGTTCAAGTTTCCAAAATAGAACAAACCGAGCAGGGACCTGATGTGACCCATATCATGGCTTATATGTTTGCAGGCGCTGGAGCTGCAGCTGCTTTGGTTATCATAGTAGTTTTATTTTTAATAAGACGTCATGACAAAACCCGCTACAAATTAGGAGGTTTGCAATGTTCCACTACTGGTAACGAAAGCTGTAGTAAAGATTATCAG